GGGGTGTATCACCCACAAAAGCAAAAACTCAGAGTAGTTTTTGATTGTGCTTCATCATATCAACGTGTTTCACTCAATAAAGAGCTGTTGCAGGGTCCAGATTTAACAAATTACCTCATTGATGTCGTGACACTCTTCAGACATGATTACTTTGCCCTGATGTCAGATATAGAGGCCATGTATCACCAAGTGAGAGTGCCACCTAATGACAGTGACCTCCTCTGAATCCTCTGGTGGCCTGATGGAGATCTGACGGAACCTTTGCAGGAATACAAGATGGCTCCCCCAGCTGTGCCAACTTTGCTCTGAAGAAAACAGCTGAAGATGTCAGGGACAAAATGTCATCAGCTGTTGGCAATGCAGAAAAATGTTTGTTTGTCTCCTGTCTGTGTCAGATGAAGATCAAGCCTGTGAAATGATCAGAACAGCTGTCTGTGAAAGAGGATTCCATTTAACGAAACGGATGAGCAACAACAGATCTGTTCTCAGTTCAATTCCTGATGCAGAAAGAGCAAAAGAAGTCAAAGAGTTGGATCTTATTCATGATGTGTTACCTGATGAAAGGATCCTAGGAGCTGAACAAGATGTGTTTGCCATATATGACCCCTTCGGTTTCCTGTCTGCCATCATGCTTCCAGCCAAAATCATTCTGCAACAGCTGTGGTAAAAAATGCTCCTGGGATCAGGACATCCCTCCTGGCATGGCAAAAAGGACTCAAAAATGGCTTTCGGATCTTAAAAAGCTCCATCATTTCACAGTGAGTAGATGCCTAAAACCAGCAGTTTTGGGAAAAACTCCTGTTTGCAGTTACTTCACTTAGCAGATGCAAGTGAACAGGGGTATGGAGTTGTGACTTCTCTCCGGTTGGTGAACAGCAGTGAAGCAATACTCTGCTCCTTCATTATTTCACCACTGAAACAAACAGCAATTCCAAGGATGGGACTGACTGCAGCTGCTGTTGCAGTGAAAGTGGATAAACTTATGAGAAAAGAGCTAAAGATGCCAATTGAAGAGTGTGTGTTTCAGTCAGACAGCACTACTGTGCTGAAGTACATTTCCAGTTAGACCATCAGATTTAAACCATTAGTGGCAAACAGAGTATCACTCAGCAGAGAAAACGCAAAACTCTGAGTCAAATGCAGCTGAACATCCAGAGGAATGAATGCAGATATATTCCTAAAACACTGGATTACTGGACTGGATTCTCTGGTGAAGAACAAAGAACACCAGCCAGTTTCACCAGATGTGAACGACAGATTAAAAGACAATACGTTAATTAAAAGATGCTCTCACCAAGTTAATCCGTTATTATTCGGACTGGCACAGATTTAAAAAGGCAGATTCATGGATGATAAAGGTTAAGCAGCTGTTCCATGAACTGAGCCAGCAACACAAGATTCAGCTATCAGAAAAATACAGTCACAGTGTGTGACGTGCAAAAGAAACCTGGAGAACAAGGAATGGCTAATTTACCACCTGATGGATTGATGTCTGATAAGCCTCCATTTACCAACGTGGGAGTCATTTATTCTGGACCGTTCCATGTGAAATGTGGAAGAAGTACAGTCAAGCCATATTGTGCATTGTTCACATGTCACACACAATACACACACATCCACTTGAGACTGATTGATGCATAAATGCAATTAGTTGCATGCAGAGGCCAGGTGTCTGTCGTGAGGTCAGATAATGGATTATATTTAGTAGGAGCAGAAAGGAGATTTGTGAAGCAATTAAGATCTGGAATCAATTAAGATCTCAGATGTTCTTTTACAGAAAACATTTTCTGATATTCAAACCTCCAGCAGGATCTCATCTTGAGGCAGTCTGGGAAAGACGGATCGGTTCTGTGAGAAGAAGTCTTTACCAGATGTTGAAACAGCTGTTCTGTGAAATGGAAGCCATCTTTAACGGCAGAGTGTCAGATGACCACATGATGTAGAGGCACTCACTCCTAACCACTTGCTTCTCCTTAAAGGCCAGCCAGTATTTCCTCTTGGATTGTGTCAGAAGGAGGATCTGTTTGCAAAGCGGAGGTGGAAACAAGTTCAGTACCTTTCTGACATTTTCTAGAAGCGGTGGAGAAAATAGTTCTTATCCTTTTCTACAGGAGAGACAGAAATAGACAGTTATGAGATAAAATCTGAGACCAGGAGATGTTGTTCTCATAGTTGATGAAACATCAGCAAGAAACTCCTGGCTGATGGGAAACGTTGAAAGAACTGTTCCAGATTCAAACGGGCTTGTTTGACGTCTATTTGTTAAAAATAAAATTAGTATCTTGGAACGACCTGTGAAGTTATGTTTGTTGTTGGAAAAGGAAACTTTGCAGAGCTTCAGATTCATAGAATGTGATGTGAGTAAACTTGTGTTTAGATAATGTTACTAAAGGATGTTAGACTACCTGTTCAAAACTAAGTTATAAATTACGCTTTCATATTTAGTAATTTAATACTTTAATAATTTAATAATTTAGTCATTGTTTTCCATTGGAAGTAACAATTAGGGGCTGAAATGTGAGCCTCATTTATAGAAAACATAAGTGAAATTTGCTTTTCTTAGTTTAGGACGTGTTTCTGTTTTCATAGTTTGTTAAAAGTCAGATTTGATTTAGACAAACTTTGCCAAATGTTTAGGCTTCCGTAGGGTTGGTGGGAAGTTCTGTCGTTTTGGAAAAATATGAGAATAAAAGGAGCAACGGAGGAGCTATACGGTCGTTTTACCGTTGCAGAAAAGCCATCATGAAGCATAAAAAAAAAAAATCTAAAATCTCCTCGCCTTTATTTCATAAAGAATATAAGAAAGTGAAACTGAAAACTTTGATCCTACAGTTTCTATGAAGTGTATGAGAAGAAAAGAAAGGCCTCAGAAGAGGCAGATATATCCCAGAATGCTTTGCATGGAGAGCTCTCCTCTCAAAGCATGATGGGATTTGCTGTCACCATCTGCTGTTGCTACCAGACAGCAGCGAGTGGGGGCGGGGGGCTCTCCTCATCCTCCTCATCCTCCTCATCCTCCTCATCCTCCTCATCCTCCTCATTCTCATCATCCTCCTCATTCTCCACAGGAGAATGGCCCTGCGCAGTGGAGGAGGAGTTACGTGACCAACGGAGCAAACAGCAGTGATCATCTGTCTGAACGGTCAGTTCACTGAGTTCACTATGGAGTTCACTATAGAGTTCACTATAGAGTTCACTATAGAGTGCCCGCTCTATAGTGATGGAGCGCACGGACGGACACAGTCAGCTGCTTTGAGAACAGCAGCTGTTAAACAGAGCGTGCACAAGAGGAAATGGGCTGGGGCACGCCCTCGCACAGGCATTGGGTCAAACACGTGCATTTTCTAAAGTGGGGGGGGGTGGGGAGGGCAATTCTCCATACTGGGAGCTGGAACCATTAACAGGGATCACTGGGATCACTGGGAGCTGGAACCATTAATGGGGAT